TCTATCTATCTATCTATCTATCTATCTATCTATCTATCTATCTATCTCTCTATCTCTCTATCTCTCTATCTCTCTATCTATCTATACTACTGTCTAATGACTTAGGCCAACGTGATGCAAGTGACATACCAATCTGGCTACCCCCAGGGCTAAGTCATGTGCCCTGACATATCGAGCAAAAAAATGTCTGGGTTGGGAAACCTGGTGTCATAGGACCTGTGGACACCTCCTCGACAAAAAATGTAAAAAAACAGCTAAATAATGCTAGATACCACTGCCTGGCACCCTGGTGACACAGTGGTGACATAGGGTGCGACTATGTGTTGCTTCCTTGAATACCTCATATATATTTCTATGAATATCATGGTTGTGGCCTGATGACATAGGCCTTAAGAGGAAATGCAAATGTTGGATCAATCCTGATGACATAGGCTTTTGGAATTGGCGTGTATGTCCGACAAGTCCTAAGTTACTAGTCAGTAGTATATCTATCTATCTATCTATCTATCTATCTATCGTATGCGTGCGCGTATTTGGCTAAACCATGGATGAAGTGCACACATGTCCAACTGTCATATAATATGTACATACAATTGCATATATATGTATACATATATATATATACACATGTTGCTTTCAGTACGTAAGTTTGCCCAGCCGGGTGCTCCGCACGAAAAAGGGCCATCTGCCAAGATGCTGCCCTGGTTTGTGCAGGTCGCTGTGGCTTGAACGTCTTTGGCCGCTTGGGGACCTGCGCGGAAGGGTTCCTTGGTGGGCCAACTTTCGAGACAAGGCTAGGCATGGCTGGGCATGTTGGCACAAAGGCAACGGATATGCTTTTCTTACATTCTGCCAGTGTCAGAGATCTCCATCAAATCGGCTGAGCTGCTCAGAAGAGTAAGGCCTATATGGGACGTAGGGCGAGCTGCTTTCGTCCATGGCGTCGGAAGCTAACGCCTACCGGCCGAAAACCTGCCGACCCATCTCGAACTACTGAGTGCTGACCTTATGGCAACAGCGGGGAAATGGCAACAAAACAGGCTGTCACTGGTATTGAGGCTAAGCGGGAAGAGATGTGTTTGCTGCTTGCAAACTGCAGTCCTTCAAGCTGCCATGCGCCCGCTGCTCCAGCAGCTGGCGCACCTAGGCGAAGATCAAGTGGATCCTTATGCTCCCTGATATGTGAGTCCAACACGCAACACCACAAATCCTCTTTCCCCCGATTGTTTGTTGTTAGACTTTATGCCTTTATGCAGCTAAGATCTGGCACCAGTGCTGAACGTTCACCCACCGAACCCAAGCGCATCGTGAGTAAGGACTCCACGGCCTGCGCACTGAAAAACAAATCTGGTTTTCCTCATCTTCGTATATTCACGGTGCGGGCCAAAGGGCCAAAGCCCAAACTGAGCAAACACGGCATCCCTCAAGGCATAGTTCCGGCTATAAATGGAGGGAAAAGGGTTTTCGATCAGATACTCTTCTTCTTTTCCGCACTTGCCTCAGAAGGCTCAGCAACGCTGTGTGCCAGGATGTCCTGCGAAGGATCAAGGACTCTTGGATCCCCTCCAACCCCGGCTGGCAATCGCCAAAGGTCAGCCAAGCAAGGAGTGATCCTCAACCTCCTTGATGTACTTCAGTTCCAAGCTTTTTACACGCTCGGACACTGCACAAAGAAGGAAGAAAATGAAGGACATCCTGAGCCATCACTCGTCCATTGATGCACAACTTCAAGCAAAAGAGAGCCCGTGAAGAGTCCAACCTGTCTCAATCACAATGGCCACGCGCTCACAACCTGTGTCTAGAATTTGACTTGTTTGGAGCTGGCGCCTAGGCCTGGCGAAACGCACAGGTTGCCAGCACGGAACTACCATGTGAAGTTCCTTCCCCACGTCCACGCTGTCTTCACTGTTGTCGACATTGGTCTTTGGAAGCAAAATGACTGTTCGGGTTGGTTGCACATTTGACCACGCACCTCCATCCTACTACATACCTTCTTGACCATCCTGCTGCCCCCGCCTCTCTCCCTCTCTCTCCTCTCTCCCTCTCTCTCCCTCTCTCCCTCTCTCTCCCTCTCTCTCCCTCTCTCTCCCTCTCTCTC